GTAACAAAATATGACTATCTTAGTAAAAAAATTACTTTGTCTCCTGAATGTGGTAGGATTTTTCTGGCCTTTGCACAGCAACCGGCTAGACTCGTTATCTTTCTTGTTTTAAAATGTAAGGTGGATAAACTGGTATTAAAGGCTGAATGGTTATTTTTTGAAGCTGAAATCAACTGCTTACGCAAATTTTTGTGGATATATTACAACTAAGATTCATGTTTTTTAATCAATTTGTATAAAAGTTCATATTCGGCGGGAAAAAACTTCTAACTCAGTTTCAATGATATGTTTTTTTGATCTAATAAGCCAGTTGAGTCACTTTCAATCCTTTCGATCAATTTTTCCACCTTTTTTGCCGGGAAATTTTGATCTAGTTTTGGTCAGCTAAATCCACACTAAAGGAATTGGTTTTTAGAATTCGGGGTTCCTATCACCAAAAGGAACGGAAAAGCTTAAAGTCCTTATTTAGAAGTCGTGGTGTATATGAAAAATTTTATCATCCTTTTGGAATGTTTTGAGGTGCTGATTGAGTGTATGTTTGCGTGTATGGAATACCCCCACCCCTTTGTCTCTCTAGTAACAAGTTGCCATCCCTATAATGTAATAAAATAGAGGTTAAGAATATGCACATTTTGCACCCATTAATGAATTCCCCTTGGCTCTTTTTCACTTTCCACGTGTATTCATGGCTAAACGCATAATGATACGTAATTATGTTATTATGAAGAATAAAATCTGTTCACAATTGTCAGTTTGTTCACCGTGCAAGTTTCATTGCATAATGACAATGTTACAGTACTTTTTCAAAAATGGAACTCATCGAAAAGGGGCAAAGTGGTAGGGCCCCTTCTATTCTCAAGAGATCCAAATCAAATATCAGAAAAACAAACTACCAGAAAAAAATTCAGCCAAAATTTGAAGGCTCATTTACCTTTCATTTCATTCCACGCATGAGTATCAATTTTATGAGGTAATGAGTGGTTTTACAAGGTTAAGTATGCAGCTCAAATCTATTTGCCGTGGCTTCAATAGTCTGTATGTCTATTTTCATTGCAATTGGTGCAATTGGACAATGTTGGCAATAATTCTGCTTGTAACATTTCGCAGGTGTGGGAATGGGGAGGAAAAAGAGCCAATTTGAAGTCTTGAAGTTTAGGTAGTCAAAACATTCTGTAACACTCGTGTAGAATTAAGGAATTTTTCTTTTATTCAAATTTCGAATTTAGTTCACAAATTGTCAGTGTGACTTATGACATCACTCAGTTGACTAATAGCCAATAATAACTGCCTAAAACATATGGTTGATAAAGCAGATTTGATATAACTGGTGTTTGTCTGACTAGCAGCCAAGATACCGTAAGGTAATCAATGAGGTCTGTTCAACAACCTCGAAGTCTAATTTTTGCTTGTAGAAAGAATTAATTTTCCCCTATGCAATGCGCGTATTTGAGTATAGATTGAGCACGTTATTGTAATTTATATATTTTTCAAAACCTTAAAAAACACAAAAATTTACTATAGCTTAAAAAAGCCTTGAAATTTGTTCAACTCGGCGGTTATGAAGCAGATAGAGGTCTCAATTTAGATTTATTGCCTGTTTGTTATCTGCAAACAACGGAAATATTGGGAAAATTTAGCTACCAATGAATTAGTACAATGCCGATTATGAATTTAGTATAAATTGTATGAGATTATACAATTTTGTAAACATAGTTAGCTTGTTGTAAAATGACTTTTTGCATGTGAAAGGGATCGAACTGTCACATGTTGGATCATAATTTTGCCCAACTTTCGAGCCGCAGAAGTATGTAGAGGGTACAAGTAGAATGAAGCCCGCAGTCTAAATGGGTTCTTGTTCTGACTATTTGATCTCACGTTTGATAAATCTGCTCTCAAATGTACCTTATCTTAATCAGACTATCTAGTTGCCATTTTGTAATAACACGAATGCGGGTTCAAACCATAACAACATACAACTTTGAGCGATAAGCTTGTTTGGAATAACTTACAGCTATAACATAACAACTATATTTAATATTACTCTTTTAGCCTCTGAGCTTCAAAATTTCGATCAAAAATTTACGGCCGAAAGTTACAAAATCTCCTTAACTTAAAAAATTTGTATTTTGTCTGAACAGACGGGCAGCCATGTTTCCCTCATTCTCTCAATCGCAGTGTGGATTTCGTGGGGATCTTTGTGACCGATTGGTTTCCTTCTACACGCCATTGATTCTTATCGCAGTTGCAGTTATCGTGGAAGGTCAAATGCTTTTCGGTAGGTTATTGCAATTTTTCTTATTCATTTCAATGCATTAAAATATTCAAGTTTTTTCATTTTTCCTCGATGTCTGGAGTTTGCTCGGGTTAAAATTTTGATATCTTTCGTAAAGATTGACTTGAGTTTTAATGCAAGTCAGGGCATTCCGCAAAGTGAATTGTTCCCGTGTTAGTGGAAATAATCATCATGGGTGAAACTCTTTGCGGTCTAATTAGCTGAAATTGGAAACTCAAACAAGAGTAGCCAGTGGATGTGCAAATATCATAAAAAGCTCCAACAGTCCAACCACATTGATAAAAAACGATCACATATATTTTTTGAACACTTGTGTCGTTCTTTGTACGTGGCGTGATGAGAACACAACATTTTTTTTTCTAAATAAGGCGTAAACGACTACAGTTGTTATCTTTACACAAGCAACGCTTGTGTTATTATATAAGCTCTCTTTTTTTCTAACCTAAACCGCTAATATTGTTGCGACGCAAATTTTGTTGCAACAAAACGTGTTCATTTTGAAAGTGTTCATTTTGGTCAGTAATCAAATAGCACTTTAGTTTCAAGGTATCATGAATCTGTAGCGTACACGTAGGGAAGGAGACCCGCAACAAAATAAGAGGGTTGGAACTTGGCCAGGGGCGGATGTTTTTAATGAACTTTTTCGTATACTAGAAAAAATGTGTCTACTCTATAAATTGAGGCATGTTAGTTCAAATTGACTGTTACTGCTAATGCAGCATAATTTGCTCGCGTCACTGAGCAATTACGTAGACTCATAATTGTCGTGCGTCACTTGAGAAATTTGTAGACTCATAGTTTTACTCATTCAGTTTTTACCAGTAGCGTTATCGTTCATATTCTTGTTTGCGTATGCGATGTGCAACTTCGTCTCTGTGTTTTTGGAGACAATCGTAACAAAAAATGACTATCTTAGTTAAAAAATTACTTTGTTTTCTGAATGTGGTTGGATCTTTCTGGCTTTTGCACAGCAACCGGCTAGACTATACGGTGGATACACTGGTGTTACAGGCTGCATGGTAATTTTTTGAAGCTGTAATCAACTGCTTACACAAATTTTTGTGGATATATTACAAGTAAGTTTCATGTTTTTTAATCAGTTTGTATAAAAATTCATAGTCGGCGGGAAAAAACTTCTAACTCAGTTTCAATGATATGTTTTTTTGATCTAATAAGCCAGTTAAGTCACTTACAATCCTTTCGATCAATTTTTCCACCTTTTTTGCCGGGAAATTTTGATCTAGTTTTCGTCAGCTAAATCCACACTAAAGGAATTGGTTTTTAGAATTCGGGGTCACTATCACCAAAAGAAACGGAAAAGCTTAAAGTCCTTATTTAGAAGTCGTGGTGTATATGAAAAATTATATCATCCTTTTGGAATGTTTTGAGGTGCTGATTGAGTGTATGTTTGCGTGTATGGAATACCCCCACCTCTTTGTCTCTCTAGTAACAAGTTGCCATCCCTATAATGTAATAAAATAGAGGTTAAGAATATGCACATTTTGCACCCATTAATGAATTCCCCTTGGCTCTTTTTCACTTTCCACGTGTATTCATGGCTAAACGCATAATGATACGATGTAATTATGAAGAATAAATCTGTTCACAATTGTCAGTTTGTTCACCGTGCCAAGTCTTATTGCATAATAACAATAATACAGTACTTTTTCAAAAATGAAACTCATCGAAAAGGGGCAAAGTGGTAGGGCCCCTTCTATTCTCAAGAGATCCAAATCAAATATCAGAAAAGAAACTACCAGAAAATATTCTGCCAAAATTTGAAGACTCATTTTCTTTTAATTTCATTTCACGCATGAGCATCAATTTTATGGTGTAATTTTATGGTTTTACAAGGTGAAGTATGCAGCTCAAATCTATTTGCCGTGTGGCTTAAATAGTCTGTATGTCTATTTTCATTGCAATTGGACAATGTTAGCACACATTGTGCTTGAGTAGTTTCGCAGGTGTGGGAGGGGGGAGGAAAAAGGGCCAATTTGAAGTCTTGAAGTTTAGGTAGTCAAAACATTCTGTAACACTCGTGTAGAATTAAGGAATTTTTCTTTTATTCAAATTTCGAATTTAGTTCACAAATTGTCAGTGTGACTTATGACATCACTCAGTTGACTAATAGCCAATAATAACTGCCTAAAACATATGGTTGATAAAGCAGTTTTGATATAACTGGTGTTTGTCTGACTAGCAGCCAAGATACCGTAAGGTAATCAACGAGGTCTGTTCAACAACCTCGAAGTCTAATTTTTGCCTGTAGAAAGAATTAATTTTCTACACTTTGCCCTATGCAATGCGCATATTTGAGTATAGATTGAGCACGTTATTGTAATTTATATATTTTTCAAAACCTTAAAAAACACAAAAATTTACTAGCTTAAAAAAGCCTTGAAATTTGTTCAACTCGGCAGTTATGAAGCAGATAAGAGGTCTCAATTTAGATTTATTGCCTGTTTGTTATCTGCAAACAACGGAAATATTGGGAAAATTTAGCTACCAATGAATTACTACAATGCCGATTATGAATTTAGTATAAATTGTATGAGATTATACAATTTTGTAAACATAGTTAGCTTGTTGTAACTGACTTTTTGCATGTGAAAGGGATCGAACTGTCATATGTTGGATCATAATTTTGCCCAACTTTCGAGCCACACGAGTATGTAGAGGGTACAAGTAGAATGAAGCCCGCAGTCTAAATGGGTTCTTGTTCTGACTATTTGATCTCACGTTTGATAAATCTGCTCTCAAATGTACCTTATCTTAATCAGACTATCGAGTTGCCATTTTGTAATAACACTAATGCGGGTTCAAACCATAAAAACATACAACTTCGAGCGATAAGCTTGTTTGGATTAACTTAAAGCTATAACATAACAACTATATTTAATATTACTCTTTTAGCCTCTGAGCTTCAAAATTTCGATCAAAAATTTACGGCCGAAAGTTACAAAATCTCCTTAACTTAAAAAATTTGTATTTTGTCTGAACAGACGGGCAGCCATGTTTCCCTCATTCTCTCAATCGCAGTGTGGATTTTGTGGGGATCTTTGTGACCGATTGGTTTCCTTCTACACGCCATTGATTCTTATCGCAGTTGCAGTTATCGTGGAAGGTCAAATGCTTTTCGGTAGGTTATTGCAATTTTTCTTATTCATTTCAATGCATTAAAATATTCAAGTTTTTTCATTTTTCCTCGATGTCTGGAGTTTGCTCGGGTTAAAATTTTGAAATCTTTCGTAAAGATTGACTTCTTGAGTTTTAATGCAAGTCAGGGCATTCCGTAAAGTGAATTGTTCCCCTGTTAGTGGAAATAATCATCATGGGTGAAACTCTTTGCAGTCTAATTAGCTGAAATTGGAAACTCAAAACAAGAGTAGCCAGTGGATGTGCAAATATCATAAAAAGCTCCAACAGTCCTACCGCATTGATAAAAAACGATCACACATATTTTTTGAACACTTGTGTCGTTCTTTGTACGTGGCGTGATGAGAACACAACATTTTTTTTTCTAAATAACGCGTAAACGACTACAGTTGTTATCTTTACACAAGCAACGCTTGTGTTATTATATAAGCTCTCTTTTTTTCTAACCTAAACCGCTAATATTGTTGAGACGCAAATTTTGTTGCAACAAAACGTGTTCATTTTGAAAGTGTTCGTTTTGATCAATAACCAGCTATTAAGGATAGCTGCCAATGCTAAGGATATTAAAACAGACTATTTTTTTTACAAATAGCACTTTAGTTTCAAGGTATCATGGATCTGTAGCGTACACGTAGGGAAGGAGACCCGCAACAAAATAAGAGGATTGGAAGCTGGCCAGGGGCGGATGTTTTTAATGAACTTTTTCGTATACTAGAAAAAATGCGTCTACTCTATAAATTGAGGCATGTTAGTTCAAATTGACTGTTACTGCTAATGCAGCATAATTGGCTCGCGTCACTGAGCAATTACGTAGACTCATAATTGTCGTGCGTCACTTGAGAAATTTGTAGACTCATAGTTTTACTCATTCAGTTTTTACCAGTAGCGTTATCGTTCATATTCTTGTTTGCGTATGCGATGTGCAACTTCGTCTCTGTGTTAAGTGATTATATGATTTAGCACTCGACCCCTTCGATGATTATTTGCGGTACCAATTTTTCGGGGCAAAATAAATTTCAACCGAATGCATAGTTCTTCCGCATGCTACCTTCAGGCACCTCGACATTTTGTTTCGCCTTCTAATGTTTTTTTGTTTGATTTGTTTCGCAACAGGTGCGAATCTCAGCTTTGCTGTTCTATTAAGTTTTGTACTGATAGATTGTTTTGATTAAGGATTGAAAAGTTTTTTTTTGCTTTCTCATGTATTTGTTTTCAAAACAATCGGACTTCACAAGGTCATGTATCAAGAACACATCTCGAGGATGCGAGATCAAGTGACTTATCATTTTGAGTTACTTCCAGTCATCATTCGGCTAACTCAAAAAACGACAGAAAACGGTCTTTTCTGTCCGAATGCATAGAATTCAACCGAATGCATAGTTCTTCCGCATGCTACCTTCAGGCACCTCGACATTTTGTTTCGCCTTCTGATGTTTTTTTTGTTTGATTTGTTTCGCAACAGGTGCGAATCTCAGCTTTGCTGTTGTATTAAGTTTTGTACTGATAGATTGTTTTGATTAAGGATTGAAAAGTTTTTTTTTGCTTTCTCATGTATTTGTTTTCAAAACAATCAGACTTCACAAGGTCATGTATCAAGGACACATCTCGAGGATGCGAGATCAAGTGACTTATCATTTTGAGTTACTTCCAGTCATCATTCGGCTAACTCAAAAAACGACAGAAAACGGTCTTTTCTGTCCGAATGCATAGAATTCAACCGAATGCATAGTTCTTCCGCATGCTACCTTCAGGCACCTCGACATTTTGTTTCGCCTTCTGATGTTTTTTTTGTTTGATTTGTTTCGCAACAGGTGCGAATCTCAGCTTTGCTGTTGTATTAAGTTTTGTACTGATAGATTGTTTTGATTAAGGATTGAAAAGTTTTTTTTTTGCTTTCTCATGTATTTGTTTTCAAAACAATCAGACTTCACAAGGTCATGTATCAAGGACACATCTCGAGGATGCGAGATCAAGTGACTTATCATTTTGAGTTACTTCCAGTCATCATTCGGCTAACTCAAAAAACGACAGAAAACGGTCTTTTCTGTCCGAATGCATAGAATTCAACCGAATGCATAGTTCTTCCGCATGCTACCTTCAGGCACCTCGACATTTTGTTTCGCCTTCTAATGTTTAGAATGTTTGTTTCACCTCGACAGAAAATGGTCTGAGGTATATATAGGATCATCTCCTTCAGACGTTTGAAAACCTCACCACAAAGGGTCCGCTCTTATATTGTTTTGTGACACCCATCTATAAAAGAGGAGTTTGGAAAGGCAAAGACCTTAGGCAAATTTCTGTCTTACCGTCTTTCACTTAGTTTTTCTTATTTGCTAAACAGCTAAGTTGCACAGGTAGTGCCATAAAATTTTAATTTAACCTATTTATTTAAAAGTCCAAGTTCACTTCCTCGTAGCATCAGAATTCATTTTTCTAAAGTTGCCTTAGGTCCCAATATATTGTATTTTTGAGAGTGCACTTTTAAAGAATGCAAATTTTTGAAAAAGCGACCAAAAGACAAGGCATAAATTGGGCCTTGTTGAGGTTCCAAGAGAGCCCAAATATGCATGATTTTTCTTTTTTTTGTCAAGTATTTTTATTGATCTTTCCTGAATTGAAAAATGAAAATGTCCGATGTCTTTTTTTTGTTTTTTTTTTAGGTGAGCCAGCGACTTGTTTCACTACCACTGAAATGAACTCGAAACAGGCAGAGTACGTGTCTGAGTATTGTGCCGCCGCTGACTCTCATTACACATCAATTGACTCCCTCGACTCAGGCGAAGATGAACTTGAAACAGTTGAAAACCTGACCAAAAACGCACCGTTCTTTTTTCTTCTGGCTGGTAAGAAAATGTTTTGCCATCATTAAGTGTTTATTTAATTATCAATTAGCTTAGATCATTTCCAAAAAATGAACCAAAAAATCTTGACCAAAAATGATTAGAATAACAAAAAGTGCGTTTGGTGATATGTTACAATAGGCGGTAATTTTCAGTGTAGTGCATGTATTAAATTTGAGAACTATAATAAAATATTATAGTCATTTCATTTTCAATCATTTATACTACTACTAAGATAGTTTTTGTAAATACTTTACTCTGACAGATGAAATGCTATTCAACAATTCAAAATTTACAGTTTTGCCAAAAAATTTGGCTTTAGAAACAAATTATAAACAAAGTGCAAAGTATAACAAAGAGCTACCCGCATCCAGTTTCAAGCGTTAATAATCGATTATAACATGATTTTAGTACCAATCTTACAACATTTGCGAAAAAAAATTGATTTTAATCAATTAATAATTGATTGTAATCTCTTTTTGAAATCAAATATAATCAGTTATAATACATTGTAATCGATAATAATTGTTTATAATCTCTTTTGTTTGACCTTTTTGTCTTCGACCTTGCACATTAGTTGCTTATAATTTATGCTTTTTGTAGAAGTTGGTTTTATCTGAAAAACGGGAAAACTGTTTTAACAGTTTTCAAATCAGTTCAAACTTAAAACATTTTTATTTTTTCATTTCTCCTTGATTATAATTGTTTCATGACGTATATATATATTTTTTTTCTACCACTAAAATATCAGCACACTACTTTAGTTTCATAATTTATATAGAAGAGCTATATTTCACCTACCGCGGGATTCTTTCAACTTATGTTAAGGGATCTCTATAAAACTTTTGTTTCGTGGAAAAACCAAAGAGTGACAGGGCATCTCACTTTGAGAGATTTTTGACAAAAAAAACAAAAAAAAAGTATTATAATCTATTAAAATAGATTATAATAGATTATAAGAGATTGTAACAGATTTTCGGAAAAATTATAATCAATAATAATTGATAATAGTTAATTCGGTCATTTTCATAATAATTAATGCCACGAAAAAGGTTATCATTATAATGGATTATAAATCGTTTAAACATCCAAATTTGGCGCTTATAATTAATTATGATTTTGATAAAATTATAATCGATATATTTTCGATTATTTTCGTTATAAACGATTATTTTCTCTTTTTACTGAGTGCGGGTATCCATCTATTCAAATTGAACCTGCATTCTTTTGTTTTATTTCACCCCTGCGTTTGTTGCACATGCGTGTTTATCTTCAAAGTCCGAAATTACATCCCTTTTTTTCTGGCTCGGCACGACTATCATTTAAAGCAAAGTTCCCAGTGGATGAAAAAAGGCACATTTATTAGGCTACTGGGTTAGGTTTTCCGAAACTGCTTACGTTCTGTGGCCTTTCGAAAAGTTTTCATCTTGTCTGGGCTCTGATAATGTAGGTAGCTGTTTGGAGTCACAATCTTGTTTAACACAATATCGGAAGCTCAGGGTTAGGTCTGATTTGTAATACTCCAATATGGGCAAGCATGACCGAAGGAGTGACAAAACTCTTCTCCACGTTAGGCTGTTCTTTTTGTGAAGGTTGGCTTGAGCACTAAACAATGGCGCTCAAAAAATGTACATGTCGAGCTAAAAAAAAATGAGCATGTCGTTTTCACATGGCTCTCAAAAAATGACTTTTTAGCCCTAAAAAGTAGTTATTTCCTTCTTTCGACTTTGGTCTTGCGCTTTCGAAATTCTATCTTGATTTTTCCAAAAAAAATATTGAATTTTCGAAATAATATCAAATTGAAATTTTTTATATTGGATTGTCTCGAGGTTTTCTTGGAAATTATGTATTATTGTCCCTTAATAATGTATTAGTGGCAAAAATAATGAAAGCTTCAATGAAAAAACTATGAATGTTAAGTTTTGCAATCCTTATTGTTTTCCCGAAAGAGAAGCAATGAGGAGAAAAGCGAAGGGTGATAAAAACTAATTAAAAGTTGCATGTTTATAGCCCTCCTTCTGTACTACCCATTTGCCGAGTGGAAGACGATCTCCAGATGTCTGGGCATGGATCTGGACTCCCTGAGGAAAACAGTGGAGAACCCAGTGTTGTCTTCCAGTGGACAATGTGTGGAAAAGGTGGCAACCGTGGCTGCAAACCAGATGGAAAACTACCTGCAAGTGAAGAGAAACAAAACTCCGGTCAGCTAATTGTAATGCATTCTAACTACATTGATTTTTTTAGACCACCTTTAAAAACTTTGACTTTTGGACCACCAGGTTAAGTTTTCACTTATTTGTAAATTATCCTTTCATATTGTTCGCTTTCTGGAAAAATTTTTGATTTCCGAACTTTGGGTTTTCTTTTGCTGTCTGAAGAACGTTAGTTTTAATTACTCCAAAATATCTTCCAGGGCTGTTCTCCGTTCTTATCCTGTCTCACCTGTCGATGTCTGGTCTCGATCAGTTACCTGTACCTCAAAGTGCAATACCTGTTGGCCATTGCCTTCTCCGCACTCCTGTTCACCTTCTGTGTCAACCCCTCCTTCTACTACATGGGGGTGCCGATGGTGATGCAGTACCTGGACAAGTGCTGTCCTGAAATAGTAGAGTTGATGGGAGGGTACTCCGAGTTCACTTATTCTGGAGTTGTGATTTGTGACGTGGAAATCAGCAAACTCGGAAGTAAGTGAGCATTACATGGGATATGGGGGTGTAGCAGTTAGCATAGGTGCCTATTAGCATGCGCTAACGAATTGTTTTAATCGGGTGCGCATTTAGATTAAAAACAAATTAGCCTAAATTTTAAGTTAATTTCGAAAACAATCTTACTTGTAAGGGAAAAACGTTCAATTTCGCCAAGTTAAAAATTCGGCCAAGTGCACGCTGATAGAAGTTGCAAGTTTCAGTAAACAAAACTTGAAATAGCGAGTCTTCAAACTACATGCTCTTATATAGGCATGTTAATAAACACATGCTAATAGGCCGGTACCCAAGGGAAGAATTTTTATCAATACACTAAATTAGCCATAGAGCCAGTGATGTCCAGTTAAGAAAAAATAAAAAATGATATTATTGTTCGAGAAAATTATAAAAATTGTTGGTATCAATTAGAAATTTTCTGAAACTATTTAAATTTTTTTTGCAGTTTGAATTTTTCTTGAGCGTGTTTTTAGCATTTTTTCTGCCAGTTTTGGTTTTTTGCAATTCTGAGGAAATAAATCAAAAGCAATTTTTTTGAGCATATCTATTTGCAACAAAATCTTCTCAATTTTGTCGTAAAAACTTAGATTTTTTGCTTTTTCCTCAAAACTGAGAAGTAAAATAAATTGACATAACTAAACTGTGTACTTTGGCGTCGGATCGAATACCGCCCGAGCAATTAATTTTTTTTCAATTATAAATTGTTCGATTTAAATTAAAATTTTTCATTTAAATTGAGAGGACACATAATTTCACATTTAAATAAATTGAAATTTAAATGAAAATTCAAACTAGTTGAAATTATTTTCTTAAATGGACATCACTGCCTAGAGCTTTGTATTAAGAATTCTAATTTTCCTGCGCTCTAATTGGTTGAAAATTTGGTTTGTTCATCTTTTGAACACTCCCTTCCCCTTGCAAGAAAGCTTGAGGGAGAGTGTTCAATGGATAAATAAACCGAATTTTTGGCCAATCAGAGCGCAGGAAAATAAAAAATCTCAATAGAATGCTCTAGTGCTAATTTACTTGCTAAATTACAATAAAATTTTTGAGTTGATAAAAAAAATTGTCAAAAATGCTTGGATGAAAAGTCAAAAATTGACAGGATGAAAACAACCACCCCATGCATTATTATTCCGCACTTCCTCCTCGGAAAAATTTCTATCTTACAGTTTTCTTTCAGAAAAAGTCACTATCTCACAGATTTTTAAGAACGTTTTTTAAATTTTATCTTGTTTTTTGAAAACCTATTTTGCAACAAAAATTTCTAAGAGCCTTACTTTATAGGAAATTGCAAGTTTTTTTAAGAAAAGTTTTAAAATTTTTTGTCAAGCGGGGACTGCTACTATTCAACCAAATTTTTAAGATAAAAACAGATAAAGCTTTATTGTTACGAAAATTGTAAATGGAAAGCAGATTGTATTCGGGTGTGTTCTAATTTTTTCACGCAAAATCAGGTTCAACCACGAGCAGATCAAGGATTTTGTCGTCTATTTGTTTTAGGTCGTTCATATTGATTTTTTCAGCGGTCTCAGAACACTATATAAACCCCGTTTTGACCAAAAGTTTTGCCCCAAAGGTAATTTTTTGAAAATAAGCAGGTCAAAAATGCCGTTTTTGGGCAGTTTTTGTAAAATATTGACCAAATATTGCATTTTTCGGCGCGCGCTCCCATTCAAAATGAGTTTATCTTGGCACCAAAGGCACCCTTTAAAAAATTTAGCCCCCACCCCATAAACCTGCCCCTGGGTACCACAAACAGTCTTTGAACTGGGTCGAGTGATATATCATACTAAAACCCTTTCCGTCGTGCTTCAAACGACATTAAAGTTTTTTTTCAAAAATTTGTCGAGAAAAACTGGTTAAATATTTTTGTGTTTTAGTCCAGTTTCGAGCGTGAAAAGCGAGCGAGCAGGCTTATTGATATCGAAGGATAAGCTATGAAACTTTTATTCAAGCTCCTGAAATATTTAAAGTTTTCTATCAAGACATTGACAGAAAGCTTTAGATCGTGATCCTTATAAAAATCAACAGCAACACCGCATGTTTTGAGAAACTTCCATTTAAAAAGCTAATCAGTATGACGTCCGTGACTTAAGCAATAATAAAAAAATATCGTTCACTCGCTCAAGCACGAGACTTTTTAACCATACTTTTAAATATATTTTTTTGTAAACTCATGTTTTCAGTGTGTTTTATTTATCGACAGCAATTATTACTGCTTTCACTTGGTCTATGAGTTCCTCGGCGTTCGGGGGGCGCACTCTATGAAATGCTAAAGATTTTGCAACTGCTATAAATTTCTCGTTGAGTTTTATTGGCTCTTTCAATTATGGTTTGATAGGACTCCATTAACAAGGTGCCTTTTACCATTTAAAATACTTCATAATCTTTTAGATTTGAACAGCGACCGCCAAAATTGCGCCTACGTGTTGTGAGCTTGCCAACAGAGGGTTGGAATCTATACCAAAGTTAGAACTGGTTATCACCAGAAAGCCGGTTCAAATTTTAGGCCGGTTCAAATTTCGAAATGGGTAAAAACAGCTTGGGGTAAAATAGGGGTAAAAAGTAGCTGAGTAGAAATATAGGAGGTAAAAATCCATAGTATAAAAAGCTGCAGTTTTTTGAAGTGTTGATTGACCGCTTGTTTGCAATGTATTTATAAACTCAAAATAAATGGAATCTGTTCATCTTTCAAGTTGATTTTGTCGTTGTTTTTGCATTTAGAAAAGCGAAAAAAAAGAAGATAAAACTATTGCCTAAAAACTCATGTTTCAAAATTTAACATGGAGAAAAAATCAAAGGAGCCACAGAAGCTTTTTAATGGTTGTTTGAGCATCATGACATAGAAATCAAACTGAATGTTTCAGTGAAACACAAATATACAATTCAGTGTCTTCTAAACAGCAGAGATTTGGTTCAAAAGATTCTGATTGCAGTCTGGTTTTGGTTTGTCCTAATAACAATCCTAACAATCTTCAACTTCATTAGCTGGATTTTCCGAGTTACTTGCTGTTCGTACCAGACTGCCTACGTCATCAACTCCGACTCGGATCAGAAGATTAACCAATTTTTGGGCAATGAGTTGAAACTGGATGGACGATTTTTAGTGCGGTTATTTTCAGCTACTACCAACCCAGTGATGGTCTCCGAAATGGGTTCGATATGCATTCTTCAATTAGCGTCTTTAGAAATATTAGGCGAAAACTATATCAGGAAAAAACAAAAATGTTAATATCAGAAAAAAACTTTGACAATGGAAAAAGTATATTTTAGCAGAAATAGCATTTGATGAACAAAAAACGACATTTGGCGGCTGTATACTATATACACGCACAATTGCTCAGACAGCAAGTCAACAGCAAAAAAGAGACTGCTGCAGTCGCGTTAACGCGTTGCAAGCTTGCCAACAGAGGGTAGGACTCATTACAAAATTTAGAGCCCGCTACCGCCCAATTGCGACCTTAAACCGACTCTCGACTTTGTGGTCTTTGATGGCTCCTTGTCGTGGCGGTTCGGAGAATTAATAGGCTTTTTTTGCTAAATTATACATTTTACTATCAAAATGCTTGCCTAATTTTTACACGTTCATTTTCGCCTATATAGTTTTCTCAAATTTAGAATCTCAAATTCTGATCAGCTCAAAATTATTACCACAATATTCGGCAAATAGGTAGAAATTTCATTATTGGGAGCAACAAGTTTATTTCTAATTGGATTAACTTACGGAAATAATTGTTCAAACTTATCTTTTCATATGATGAAAAATCTCGAGCAAGGTTTTCATTTTTTTCGAACAACTTTTTTCGTTTTCTGTGAACTATCAAAGCGTATTTGAAAACACGACGTGTGAAAGACAAGTTTTTTTTTTACAAAACTGAAACAAGAACATTGATATTATAGGAACATGAAATTGGTAACTTGATATATAATTAAAGTTTTTAATCGAAGTTTACAGACAGTGTACGAAGATGTACGAAAATATTGGACGAAGATAATATTTTTAGGAGAACTTAATTAAATTTCATGATTTTTTTTTTGGACAACACTTAGTTTGATTATTTCCTAAATTGGCTCAGAAGAAGTGTTTTAGTTTTTTGCCTTCGGAAAAATTACATCTGTAAAAAGTTTTTCCATTTGTTGATGGTCATTATATATTACAATACCTGTCTTAAAAGTATATATTTTTGCGTTATAGGCTATAGCAGAAAACAATGTGAAAGACTTCATTTGTTGTCATGCAACTAGTGTTTTGCTTTTAGTAGCCTCTTTATTAGCCCACAATGCAGGTTTTCGATATTTTATAAATTGGTAACATAAAGTGATGATCTGTAACCAATTAGGTAGTGGAAAACTATTAGGTAGATTTTAAAAGATCAATTCATAAACTTGGACGCTTCGGAGCAGGCTTTAACAGCCCAGCTGGATTTATTTTCTTGTGTAATGATGATACAACTTCGAATCGTAAATATTTTATAATGACTTGAGCCATTTTTTCTAAATTGCTTTAACTTGGCTTTGATATGTCTAGTGGTTGTCAATAACTACTTTTATATATACATATTTTTCATGATTCTTGTTTTCATAATTTGATCATCAACATTAAGTCTCTTGTTATTTCTAAATTAGTTTCAAAAGCATTAAATTCTGTTTTATCTTGATTGATTTTTATTCAAGCTTGATTGAAATAGTTCAACAAATTAGCAACCTTATTCTCAAAATTTTTGACATTGGCTAACTTTTTTTTACTCATAATTAGGAGTGTGGTAGCAACTGCTTGTTTAATGATTTTACAGTTTACCATTTTGTACATAGCATTGAAACATTTGATCTTGACGACGTTTTCTTACGACTACGAGGCAATTTGCTTCTTTTCCATTTAAGACAATTGAATCCTGTCTGTTGATCAGATGGCAGATTAATCAAAGTCTTAAGATTCTAACTGTTCTAATATTTGTTTTTATTTAATTTTTTCTAAAAATTTTTCATCAGTGAGTTAAAAATAAAAACTTCAATGAATCAAGAAGAGCAAACTCAATAAATGACTTATTACCGACTTGATTTTTGTTTGTTTCTCTTAATAAAAGCAGGGCATCTGTGGAAGAAAACTTTTTTGGGTAGAAAATTTTTTTTTTAATTTTGAACTCCAACTGACTGTTTTTCATAGCCCATGAAAAATTTATATTGAAAGTTTTTTCGTTTATCACGAGAGGAACTCAAACTTTGAACAAAACTGGAAAATTTTTAGGCTTCTTAAGCCTTTTGTGATCTTTTAAAAAGTTTTCCGGAGAAAATGAATAACAACGTGCAAACTTTTACGCAAAACGTTTCTTAAGTAATTTTTGATCCAACTTTATTCAAACGTTATTTAACTTGTTTCTCTTAGTCAGAGCCTGACTAACTAAATCTAAAGTAACCAAGAATCTAAGTAACTAATCTATCAATTCTTTATTACGAACAATCTAGTTTTGTCCTTTAAATCTCGGCAAATGTCAGAGGGGGAGGCAAGTTTTTATTTAAAAAAAATCTCTTTTTTATCGGCCTTTCTTATTGACTATAGACGACCACTTTTTTCCGAGCTCTTCTAAAACACTATAAGGACCTTATTTGGACAACATTTTCTGCATCATAGGCAAGTTTTTAGGCTCTTTTTGGAAGACTTTAGCGCGTTATCCCTTGAAAATGTGTATATATTGGCAGCGACGGTGCTTTCAGAAAACTTTCAATGTCGGGCAGCAGGACATAGATGTCGTACAGTAGTACCAACAGGGAAGCTATTTGTAAAAAAAGTCCAACTACGTTTTTTTTTCTAGTGAATGAAATGTTCGCCAGGGCTGAGCAAGAAAACGAAGCAGATGGCAACCCGACTGGTTTGGACGTGGGCAGCTTTGCACACCCCTCGGGTGCGGTGGGGGGATACATGAGCATTAACTCGGACAGTTCAAAGCCACAACAGGTGCTGCCACCTCAAGTATGGGGCTACAACAGTGAGGGGACGGAAGCATACGAACTGAAGGCGCAGAGGTCGAGCGAACACTAAAAACTGAAGCAAATATCTAACTCTCAATGGACAGTCTTTTGCCATCTATATTTAATCAATATGATTGTGAAAATAGCAATCTTGAAAATAATTTTCTTCAGAACTAAATGGAATTTCAGAAATTACTTGTACAGTAATTTTTGATTCTACCTGTTTCTAAAATTTACCAGAATAAACCACTTTGAACCGATTATGTACCCTTCTCAATTTATATATATGTATATATATATATATATATATGAGTTTTGTCATTTTTTATTGCATTACTTCAATCATGAAACTTTCATCAAAGTTAAAAAAAAATGATTGTTCTTAACTTTTGCTCTAGTCAGGGGCGGATTTAGGGGGGGGGGGGGGGGCGGACGCCCTCCCCCCTCAGGGATTCGAACCCCTGCCATCCCAAAGGGTCCCCCCTTTTGTACATTTTAAGAAATCCATTCTTGGCCTACCGACCCTAAAATTTTTCTAAAGGCGCCTTTGGCGCCAATATATTCTAATTCTGAGGGGGAGCGCGCGCCAAAAAAACGCGTTTTTTTTGTCAAAATTTTCCAAAAAGTGACCAAAAACGGCATTTTTGACCTGTTTTTTTTTCAAAAACTTGCCTGCGGCGCAAAAAATTTGGCCAAAACAGGGTCTTTTTACTGCTTTGGGAGAGCTCGGAAAATCAATCTGATCAACCGGAAAAAAAAGTCGTCAAAATTTTCGAAAATTTTTGGAAAATCCGCCCCCCCTCGAGAAAATCCTGGATCCGCCCCTGGCTCTAGTTGCTCTTAATCTTAATGAAATAAATTTTTTTCTGCTGCTTGTAAACGTTTTTTTTTCTGGCTAGTAATTGATAATTTTCTTCGTTTGATTTTGCGCAATTGATAGTGAAACACGCATATCCAATGCTAATTGCTTTCAATAATATTTTAACCAACTCGTAAGCGTAAAATTTTTAGCTTGAGTAAATCTTAAACAATTTTCAACTTTATTTATCCATTTTTTCAAGAACAAACAAAGTTAGAGCTGTCACTTCAAATGTGGCAGAATAGAAAAATCAGGAGATAATGCAATCGGGTTTTTATGAGTTACGAGTTTGCGAGAATCGAGTCATGAACTGAATATTCAGATTTTCAAATTGTTATCATTTTTTTAGAGTTCGTTATTCATAGCAGTTAATCAAAACTCATTTTGTCAAAAATTGATCAAAATCATTGAATTGCATTTGAAACCTGCAAGTCTTTGCCTTGATATGAGAAATTTTGTTAAAACCAAACTCATACTGAACTCTCATTACGACTCCTTTTTAACAAAAATTTAGAAGAAGATTGTCTTGTTTCCTTGAGATTAGTCATAAGCTAGCCATAAGAATGTTTCGGAGTTTTTCGTATTTACGAACTTATTAGAAGTAGGTAAAACAGAGCAAAAAATTCATTTTTTGATCTTTTATCATAATTTTTTGTTTAGTTTTCGAAAAGAACAAGACAGCGCTAATTAATATCAATGCGAGTTTGCGAGAACCGAGTCATGAACTGAATATTCAGATTTTCAAATTGTTATCATTTTATTTAGAGTTCGTTATTCATAGCAGTTTATCAAAAATCATTGTGTCAAAAATTGATCAAAATCATTGAATTGCAACTAAAACCTGCAGGTCTTTGTCTTGACATGAGAATTTTTATTAAAATCAAACTCATACTGAACTCTTATTACGACTCCTTTTTAACAAAAATTTAGAAGAAGATTGTCTTGTTTCCTTGAGATTGTCTAGTTTCCTTGAGTTTTGCGTATTTACGAACTTATTAGAAGTAGGTAAAACAGAGCAAAAAATTCATTTTTTGATCTTTTCTCATAATTTTTTGTTTAATTTTTGAAAAGAATATTATTTTAATAAAAGCAACAGCGGGTTGCTGTGCAAGCAGTTCAGGATAGTTCCATCACGTAAGACAAATTTTGCACTAAACAATTTAAAAGTTTTTAAAAATTTTTGCCAAGAAAGCGCTAATTAATATCAAAATCTAGTTTTCTTTATAATCAAACCAAGTATCCATAGCTTATCTGACATGTTTTAATAATTAATATTCAATTGCTTTAATTGTTGTCCAATTTTTCTGAACACTGAGAAAATTTTTCGAAATTTATCAATGTTGTTCAAATCACGAGGAAAAGAGCGTTAATAATGATATATCACTCGACTCATTCCAACATTTATTTGTGGTACCTAATTTTGTGAGCAAAATTAAAAAAAAAACAGATAAAAGAAACACAAACAAATACAAAGTTTCTCTCTATCAACCAAAAACACTGATACTGATTTGCTATAGCTAAAAATAGTACCAAAAAATTTGGATGGTTTTTCGATAAAAGCTATTCATTAATTTTCCTCGTGCAAATTTCATGGTTGATAATTTTTTGAACAAAAATTTGCAAAATTGGCTTGAAACATTTTATCAGCAAAAGTCATCATCTGAACATATGGGCAATGAAATGTTTGCTAAGCTGAAATTAAGTTTATGAAAATTTCTTGATTCTTCGATATAAAAAAGATTCACTTACAGTTTTTATGTAGGAAAATTTGATTACTCTAATTTTTTTATGGCTGCAAAGACAAAACAAAAAAATGCATAGCAAAACAATCAAAATTACCAAATAAATTATATCTTTTGTAGATGCGTATAACGTAGACCGAAGAGTAGACCTTACTTTTCCTTGGAAAGTGAGCTATAAACTCAAAAATTTATTTTCGAAAAACTTGTGTCATTAAATATTTATAGACTTATATTAGAAAATCAATAATTTTGTGTATAAAAAATATCCTATTCCAGGCTCCTCAAGCATTAGTTCTGCGTTATCTTGAATACTTATGTGACTCAAGGTTTTCAAAAACCAGCGTCCTTGTCACTCGTGTTTGATTAATAATAATCACAAAAAATAATGAAAAATGAATAAATTGAGTGTCCGGTTTATGGAAAAATGGTAGCCATCACCAGCGAACTTAGGGGGAGGGGGATGCGGATGCCCCCTTAGGTATTCGACCTCCTGCCGACGCAAATGGTCCCCTCTTTCTACTATTTTATTATATCCATTTTTGGCTGGTGGACCCTAAATCTTTTCTAAATATATATATAGTAAAATAGAGAGTGAAGCGCGCGCAAAAAAAACCCCGATTTTTAGGTCAACGTTTTCCTAAAACGCTTTTTGGCCTGTTTTTTTTCAAAATTTTGCTTGCGGTGCAGAAAAATCGCTTAACATAGGGTCTTTATAGTGATTGTTGGAGCTCGGAAAATCAATTTGGTTGACATAAAAAAAGGTCGATAAAGTTTTGAATTTTTTTCGAAAATACCCCACCCCCTCGAAAAAATCCTAGATCCGCCCCTGGTATCCATATGACGTTCAAGAATTTTTTTTGTTTTTTGCAGAATTGTGTGGAATTTTGTGGAGTCGTGTGAAGTCTATGACGAGCATTTTTGGGTGTGAGATTAAATAAAGAACCTCTGATTGATTTTTTGCTTGGAGAAGCAAATTTTTCGGTTCAAAAAAGTTAAATAGCAAATTTGGTGTAAACTCTGATTGTATACTTTAAATGCAAAATTTTATAAAATCACATTCAGTTTTTTGTCTGGAATGCGGATTGTCGCAGTTAAGCAGTCGTGATTGATTTTGTGGTCGTGATTGACGACAGAAATTCGACTGGAGTCGAAAACACCGTTCGTATTGATCTCGGCTTTTACGATTTTTTTCGTTTCGGTGGAATTTGCTTTTTTTCGCCTCGTTTCTTTATTTCATTTCTCAGGTTTTCTATTTGATTCTCTAGTTCCTTGATTTGGTTCAAATCTTTGTGACTTGCCATCATTAAAGTGCTCATGCAGTTTCTGAATTAGTTGTTCTATTTCAGACTTCAGATGGGCAATTTCGTTGTCTTTTGCCTCAATTTCCTCTTCTAAATTATCCAAATCTTCGTTTTGTTTAAATTAGCAAAAAAATTTGAATTCGATTTTGAAATGGTCTCGAAGTCGAGTCCGAACAAAAATTAAGGAAATTTATTTTTGTTGAAAACTTATCCTCGGGGCTAGTCTGAATCCGTCATTGAATCCGTTTTTCACTATTGACTTTGAAGTCGTGATTATAAGGAGCCCAGAGTCTCATAGTAAGAGCTTCATTGAAATTCACAAAAGCTTCAATTATTGCGAACAAAGGTTTTTTTACAAGGGACTCTCTCCATTCAATCAAGAACCGCCCACGGTCTTTCTGAACTCATGAATTACGTCAGTGGTAAGAATCAAGAACCGTTTTTCATCCAATTGCACTTGAATTATTTAAAAAAAAGACGGAACCGCCAGTTATAAATGCACCACCCTGCAATCACAAAATTCTACAAGTCGAAGTTTATTAGACCTAGCATTGAATAGTTGACAGTGAATCCTAAATTTTATGACAAACAGTTCATAAACATTCATTATATTCAGTGAAACTACTGCTTTAAATGAAGCTACATCAGTGTTTATCTCCAATGCCTGAGTTCTTCCATCGTTCAGATATCAGATCAATTTAAAAGATTATCCCGCTTATCATAATGTCATGCTCTGACAAAATAGTAATTCTTTGATAAGTTTTCTTCTTCAAGCTCTTTTGATTCAATTAAGCCCCTCTCAGAAGCTTTAACCTTTCTTCTTTCGTTCAGCACACCTATTTTTAGAAAAATTTAGGGCTTAAGAAAGAAATAAATTAGACAGGCCTATCGGGGATAGGACGTCACAAAACAATAAAAAGCAATCAAGTTAGATTGCCCGGCAAATTTACTCAATCACTTTGAGTGGTTTTAAAACCAATCGATCGGAACGAATTTTAGATTTTATTTATAGCAATTTCCAAAAAATTACTTCTACACTTCTCAGTCACACACAGACTACAGTAAGTTTCATTTCGTAGTTTAAAAATTAGACTTAAATCGAAAAAAAAAAACAAAAGCCCCCCCCCCCCCGCCACCACCCCCCTAAATGATGAAAAATTGAAATAGAAATTCTTATTTCAAAATTGGACTGAGTTTACTTTGAAATGCAGCGCTGATATCCCGAGCATTAAATGAAGCTAGAAAGTGCAAGAGTTCAAGGGCAATCAAAACTGCATCTGGTATGAAATTTTTGCGCAGAAAAGGGCAAAAATAGAGTAAAGAGCCAGTTTAAGGCGCAATAAAAGTGATAATAAAAGTG